TTGTGTATGTATGTGTGTGTACGCGCTATACGGTCAAGAGTCAATGTTTCCTTCATCGTGTCAATATGTCGTGCACACGATTAAATCATAAAGCGCTCGATCGAAGCACAAATAAAACGCGAGGAAACGACATGAGAACGCGACGGTATTTCAATTTTATACCTTTAGTCATACAAAATGCGGATGTCAATACATACAACAACCGTATTATCACACACAGATACTGTCACGCATGTCAGTGTATACGTGTCTTCATTCCGTCAGCGAATATAGTCTTTAAGGAAATACTTGTGGATAATAATAGTAAAATTGTGATACATAGAAAGGTACTCTCTAAATTTCTTGGAATACAATCTCTCAAAACCGGTGAAAAGTGATGGTATTTTCACTGTCGTTTTGAGTGAATGTTTCACACAAGTTTAGTGGATTACAACTCTATATAAGCCAATGTTTCAGTCGAAATAAATTCCTGTGACAATGGAACACGCAAGATTCACTCTCCAATTTCAAATGAAAGTATTCACTTAACGATTAAGGAGGTAACACTTAGCGTTATATTTTCAATGATGCATTAAGAGGTAAACTTATAAACTCACTACGTATCGAACAAAATTACATTTCTATATATTTATCTCACTATCTGACTAATAAATATTAATTTGAAACAAAGTTGAAAAGAATATATATACAATATTACAAATATATATAAATAAGAATATACCATATGTATATAAAATATTACATTTATGATATAAAATATTACATATTATTATTATATATAATATATGGTATATTATAAAATATTACAAATACGAGAAATGTTACTTTTTTATTTTTTTTTACATATAATGTTTTACTTGCATCAGGTAATAGAGATATACAAATAACAGTAAAAGATTTATAAAGAAACGTTTACAAAATATGTATACATATATATGTATATATCTCGAGCGTTACTATAAATTATGAATTTCCCAACATTGTATTTTTCAAACAACACTATAATTTAATATTTCTAAAATTTGCGTAAAATGTTGATACGTTAGTCGTGAATATCATAAAAGTTTTTTTATCGAAACCTTAATTTTAGCTTACAAGGGATTAAAAATAATAATTGAAAATAGCACACCAGTCTCATTGAACATGTACAAAAAGCCAACTTTAATTTCAAACATTTTAACTTTCGAATGGTCGATTCTTCTCTAAAATTGCACAAACAGTTAGATAATATTTCAATTTGTATGTAACTAGCGCAAGTTTCAATGAATTCTTAACAAACTCATTTCACCTTACAACCTCCTTAAAAGTGGAAAACTTACACTCTATAAGTGCAAAGTTACTCTAATTCGAGCGACTTGATGGTCGTTCTACTCTTCAAATGAAATTGCATCCCAAGAAATCGAGAGAGTAGATTTACGGATTTATACAAAGAAGATGTCTGTTTAGACAGATCTAAGCGAGCTCTCGTGATCTGCCGGCGAAGATTTTTCCGTGACAAATTCGACCGGTTTCAGAGGATTAAAACTAAATCACGATCATGGTCGGATATCGAATGAAGAATTCATTATCGCTACATATGCATCAATGCAACGAACATGCAGCAATCGCGGTTTCAATAACGTGTAGACACGCATAAGGGCGTGTAACGTGGATAATAGGATGATCCTGTGGTTGCCTAGGGTGATGTCTAAATGCGCATAGTCAAGTGGGTACCTTCGGCGCTTCATATACCGACGTCGTACCCACACTCGATCGCGCGCACAAACACACGGTCATGACGGACGAGAGAGAGTCCGGGATATCTAACTAGAGCCGGAAGATAGAGAGTGTATCCTAACGATCGGTCTCGCTTGAATAATTCCCGGATAAGTTTCGTACGTGCGGAGAAAGTGAAGTGTCGCGCTTGCATCTCTACAGCCTCATTATAGATTGCATCGCGTGGGTGGAAATTTACTGGAACAGACAGCGACACGTTCCGCCCTCGCGATTTTCTAAGGATCGCCGTCACCCACCCTCGCGACGCATGTCCGCGATAACAGGCAATATTCTGACGCTGTTTCTTACTGTTTTTCCGCTTCTCTTGCAAAAGAGAGACAAAGAAAGAGAGAGAGAGAGGGAAGTTCACTGGATGCAATGGTAACTAAGCGCGAATTAAATAAAACTGCAAAGTTGCGGGAAAACGCTTGAAGAGTCAGACCGATGTAACGCTCTGAAAAAAAATATTTTTGGAAATAAATTTTGCGAAAATGGATCAACCAAATATTTTGAAATGTTATATATCACTTAAGTAATTATTAAGCTTTATATTACTATTTTTATTATTTAAAGAAATGTATAAATAAATAAATAAATATATAAATAAATAAATATGCAGTATATGTGGCCAAACTTACGACTACAAAAATATCATTTCAATCGGCGGGAAAAATGGCGTCCGTTCTAGTGACCTAAAAATCAAGAAACCAAAAAATGTTTTCAATAACATGCTTGTAGTTTAAGAATAAATCTAAATTTTAAGCTGTAGAATGAAAATTACAAAAGAAATAGCTATTTAAAAATTGAATGTCCAAATTGCGCATCTTTTTGTTATTTTGCGCCAATAAAAAAGATATTAAGTTTAATATTTTCCTGAATTTTTTAGATTTATTTTCTAATTTCAAGCATATTATTTAAGAGACGCTTTGATTATTTAATCTCAGGTCACTAGAATGAATGCTATCTTTTCTATCGATTGCAGTCTGGTCACATGCTGTATGTTTATTTTTCTAAATAACAAAAATAGCTATGTAAAGTTTAATAATTACTTATAGTGCTAACAGTTAATACTAATAATTAATAGTTAGCAGTATATACTACTAATAGTGAATTAATATAAAATGTTTCAAAACATTCGGTTGATCCACTTTCGCAAAATTAATTTCCAAAAATGCGCTCTGCATTGATTTAGCCCCTTAATTATTTCGTCGTATTCACGCAAGGTAGGAAAAGGTGATTTGATGGCGCTTGGTACTAAATATTCCGCTTGCCGTTCTTTATTACGATCTCGCTCGGTGATTGCGTTACAGTTCCTCCCTGACACGCGTATTACGTTACACGAAAAAACGCTTTGTAAGCGTTACACCACGGTAGCTGTAACGCGGTGGCCGACGAGAAAACAACGCAGCTCCGCGTCGCTTCTGACGAATAATTTGGCTACGTGCCAGACTGACTGCCGGGGCTAACGACATTGGAATATTTGTCGAGTAATTCGTCCGACTGTGTAAAAGACATTCGCGTTGCGGAATTCACAGGGACGCGACGGGCAAAAGCAAAAATCGGCGCCACGTGTCGTTTGTGAGGCGCGCTTTCAAGCCGAGCTTGAAACGAGGCGCATTTCGTATACGTTGATCATTATTATACATCGCGTTATTAACCGCGCATGATAGTGTGATAGCCAAGCAAATATGCGGTTTCACAAAATCGGATATACCATGATATCAAATTGTACGCATAATTATTCGCTCATTGAGTTGTAAAGTATCGCCTCAGTTATGAATTAATCGCGGCTTCGTTGGTTAACCGTAATCGTGGTTATTTAAATAAATATTCCCTGACGGTCATCGTATCGTTTCAGATCAATCAGTAAAATTGATTTGCTCGCTTTCGTTATTGCGTTTCATATGTCGCCACTCATATTAGATGTTTTAAACAAGTGTATTATATTATATTTCTTTAATTTCGTTGGCTTTATTCACCTTTTAAAGACTGGCTTTCTGTTTTTATTAAATATGCACGACTCTTCTCACTTGGTCATTGCCTGGCGATGAGCGATATTCGTTGAACATTGATAGTAACCATTGAAAATAGACTTTTCTCCTTTATTCTCTATTATCGTACCACGCACGCCGATAAATATATTCACATAAATAATTATTTCAAACTTATTTCAAACTTATTTCAAATATTTCTTATGTTTATATATCCGGAAATCTATCATAAATTCATTATAAATGCCAGATATTTATTGCAAATATATTTTGAATATTATATTCCAGAGTACAATTAGTATGTTTTTCATTAAAATATTATATCTATAACTATTAGTTCAATTATAAAACTGAAATCAGCAAATCTCATTGGAAGAGTCAGTTAAAAGTAACGAGTATTCCTATATTGATGCACTTTGAGAACGTAGACAGTGTCATTGTATGAAAAGTTGGATTTAGTATAGCGTAACAAATTCATGTATTGCAAATTTCACAGTAAAGCCTTATTTCCACTAATTAAAATGAAAGACAAGACAGCAAAGTAGGTAAGTATTCATAGAAAATCAATGAGTACACCCTGATCATCGGTGAGATAGTCCTTATACTGATTCAATCAGAAACATCTTCAGTGATTCACTTTGAAAGAATAGTAAGTTTCGCAGTTTCATTAAAAATATTAAAGTGAAACAAAAATTCAGCTCGCTTACAACATAGAGTCGAATCAGATATTTCCTCGATAAAATTTTATAATATTCTTGCGAAAAGAATGAATTCCTCTTTTGAGTACACATGATAATAAATTTTCTTTAAATTTGTGATAGGTATATTTTAAAACCATTAAAGAGAGAGATAATATTTTTTATTGAAGATAATTATTATTTAAAAGAAAGAAAATAAACAGAGTAGTCATCTTTCTTAGCAGTAAAATGATGTTTCTGCGTGTGGATAGTGGAGAGTATCATGGCAGCTGCATAGAACGAATAAAGTGCCGTGTGAATTAAAGGGTTTAATGAGCGCTCTTTCTCCTGCGAAAAAGTTCTTCTCCGTCGGACAATATCGTACGAGCAACGAGCTCGTAAACCTCGCGTTTGCTAGCCTAACCGTCTAACAGCTTTATCCTCGTGCTTTATTCACACTAGAGAATGAATCGCCACAAGCACGGCCGTCAAATTTGTCACCAATCACCTGCATCCCCCACGTCCACACTTTATGGTGCAATGGTCGCTAACGGCTGGCCGGTTTCTCTCGTTTCAGCTGATAAAGGTATGCTATTGAAGCTCGACTTTCGGGACAAGTTCAAGCTCGAAGACAGCCCCAACTGCCATTTCGATTCCCTCGAAGTACGTGACGGCCAGCACGGTTACTCTAATCTCCTGGGCAAATTCTGCGGCTCGAATTTCCCCCCCGAGATCACGTCGAAGACGCGCTACCTTTGGCTGCAATTCCACAGCGACGAGAACATCGAGGGCGAAGGTTTCAGGGCTGTGTGGACCATGATACCGAGACCAACTCATCGTAAGTTTCGAAGTCGCAGAGTTTCTACTTTGCGGGCGTGTCCTCCTTTCACGGCTGGATGCTGCATTTTTAAGCTAATTACGACTAGAATTTAATTCGCTTTAATTTGATTTAAGTTCGATCTAAAATTCAGTTTAACGCCGAGCGCTCTCCCGGTAAAAGCGAGTGAGCGAACGAGCGCGAGCCGTCGCTGAGAGGAACATCGCGCTTCATCGACATTGTTGATACATTCCTACGCGAAGGAGGAAAGAAATATCCCTCAGCGCAAGAGCATATCAAAGCGTTTCTTTTAACGGAGTTATTAATTTACACGGCGACACGAGCTACGCTCTCGCCGAGTCTGCGTCTCGAGAATGTTTTTGAAAAAAAATCATTTCGCGAAACTCTCTGGCAATATTGAAACCTTAAATTACATTTCATTAGTGTCCATACGAATCAGACCCCTCGCCTTTTCTCTTTTTCCCTCTTTCTTTTACCCTCGTTCTCTCACTCTTTCTCTCTCTCCCTCTCTCTCTCTCTCTCTGTTTCTCTCTCTCTATACATCCTATCCTTAATTTGTCTCGGCCGTGGACTTAGGCTAAAACTGATCTACCGACGACCGTTTCTCGAATGCGAGCCTCATATATTCTTTCGGCGCGTAACCGCAGAATACTAACCCGATCGATAATTAGCTCGAGATCTTGCAGCAGCTCTTCTCGCTTCGTGCTAGTTCACATGATTCTCGCGTACGCGTCGAGAGAAAGAGAGAGAGAAAGAGAGAGAGAAAGAGAGAGAAAGAGAGAGAGAGAGAGAGAGAGACAGAAAGGACTTGTTGCTGCGATAATTGGCCCGACACAATAGCGATTGAAACTAATTTGCTCGGCGTACTTTGTGTTAATATAACAGCACAAAATAATGACTTGACCAATGCGTAATGAAAGCGCAATTAACCTGGTCACTAGGTATATCATATCATCCGTGGTAAAGTAAAATTGGAAGCTTAGAGGTAATAACTGAGCAGCTTTGCAAATGGGAACCACAGGTAACGATACTTTTGACGGACGTGTGACAGATGTATGTCGTCGGAGGAGAGAAACGAGACAGAAACGTTTACGATCGATGGACGACGTATCGTTCTAACGTCCGCTCGTACGACGAATTGTCGTGTTAATTTGCAGTAAATTGCTCGATTAAGATTAAACCGAACGCGGGAATGCGATTTTTCTTTGTGGCTGCGCCGCAAAGCGAGACAGAGGCGCGGAGACGGCGTAACGAACGCAACAATTAACGATTTGCAGCCGTCGAGTCGATCATGCGAATATTTGCGGATCTACGTCGCGTGTTCTTGCTTGGAAAATTGCGAGACGCCTGCGAAATAGATAACCCGCGGCGGCCGGGACCAAAATTAATTCACAGACAACTGCGGCGGAATGGAGAGAATTATGAATACGCGGGATATACAACAGCGACGAGTCTGGCTTTAACTGGGCGTCGTCCTTAGATCGATACAGGAGGCGGAGGATGGAGATGGCTGTGCGGTCAGCGCGATCAAATACTGAAAATTTTATCTGGTCGGCGGTTGATTAACTCGATCGTTACAGAGTTCCAATATTGATGTCCAATATTGGAGAACATCTGGCATCGTGGACACCGTGGCCATGGTATTGCCACATTTGACGCTTTCCGGGGTGTGCTTTTGTTAATGAACGTTCGTTCTTTAATGAAGCTAAGGAAGAGCCGATGGAATACGAATTGAAAACTGCGCGGGACGCTTTTGTCCACGTTTTGTTCTTTGTACGCTTCTAAAGGTCGAGAAGTTGCGATAAAAGCCGAACGAGTTAATCGCAATAATTGACTTTCCCACGAAACCAGACTACAGAACGCGGCGCGATATTACGCCTGTGTGAAATGAATTGGTTCAAGATCCCTGATAGAAAAGTGTGCAGTTCACATAGATATTTGTCCAGTTATTTTCTAGTATTAATATATTCTTATTAGTTGTAAAGATACTGCGTAAAACTAAGCAAGAATATGATAAAGTTTTATTTTGTAGTTAAGAGAGTTTACAATGTAGACCGATTCATCCAAGATATAGTATCAATAATATTATTGCTGTTTTATGATGTGAATGTCTATAATAAATAAATTGTGAATAAATTTGAAATATAATTATTTATATTGTTAAAAAAGAGTTTAAAATTGTGTTAATGACGAGATAATGTGTAGAAAAGTAAAAAGAGAAAAAAATAAGACATTTGACAATATTAAGCCTTGTGACAACTAAGATTAGAAACAGAGATGACAACTAAGATTAGAAATAAAAGTGAGCAGAAAATAAGATAAGTAAGATATATGTTAATAATATAAATTTTCATTGCAATGAGAGAGAGAGAGAGAGAGAGAGAGAGAGAGAGAGAGAGAGAGAGAGAGAGAACACATCAGACTATTCTGACGATAATGAAACAAATGGAAACTGTCACGCTAGCTCAGATTCAGAACCTAATGAAATAGTACAACTATAAGAATGGATGAAAAAGCATGTGTCACTTGATGGTTATGAAAAATACCACGTAAAAAGCGAAAAACATGAAAATGTGTAGGCAATTCATATTATGACAATTCATGACTTTTATTAGCATTAAAATTCTTTAATTCGAGAAATTGTGCACAAAAAATAAAATATTACTAGAGTAAACCTTCTCATTTAATGAGCGGCAAACTGGATTATTGATCAACTGAATGGTTTCCTGTCCATTTTCTGTCCTGTTTATGTTCGGTAAATAGGTTCAGATTTTGTACATCTTTCTTACGCGGCAATTACAGGAGAAACGTTACATCTTTATTGGGATTCCAAATAGTTTTACTCTTCAATTACTAGAGAAAAGTTAACATAACTGTCCGATAACTGCTTGTTAACAGTATTGCATTTCTACCAAGGATATACAACGATGTAGCAACGGCGTCTTATATTCTTTCAGTTTGTTTTCTGATATCAACCTTCTTTCGGATTTAATTTCAGTTGTTAAATTTTGTTTCTTGAGTTCCTTTCTTCTGTCTTCCATTTGTTGGTATTATTTTCATTAATATCATAAAATATTCGAGGCATATTTGATACAAATACATGTTTATTTTGCAAAAGATCATTTTTAAATCGTAAGAAAGAAATTATCTGGTTGGAATTTGGAAAATGAACTCTTGCTAGAACTTTTGCTGGAAGAGTTAAACTTCCCTTTCCGATCGATTTTGCAGCCTGTCGCTATGATTGTTCCATGAGAAAATATCGTCGATTATGTCCGGCCGTGATTGAGGACTAAAGCCGTCGCGCCATATCTGTCTGTAACTACTTACCGCGCGCGCTTCAGTTCTGTCCGTAACCACTTGTCGTGCGCCGCAGGCAATGCAAGGATCAGTGGAGAGTACTACGCGCGTAACAGCATAGTTCTCATTCATTATTAATAAGGGTCACGCCGAAAGCATCCAAGTGTGTTAACTCGGAGAAAAATTGGCGTAGAAACGCGAAGCGAAAACGGGTCTTCCACGCCGTTTATTCCGCAAGGGACTGCGCTAATCGCAAGTGTACTTATCATAACGCTGAAAAGTACCGTAAAATAATATCTGCAAAGTAATTTTGAAAGTCTAATCTGAAAAGTAATGTATTACGAACTATAACGACTTTGTTACGTCGTTTCTCATGCTTCCTGTCACATTTAATTATTATTGGATATATTGATCAATTATCAATTAATTATTTATTGCTCCTCTTGCTGATCAGACAATTGCCATTTGCTATCGAAACTGAAAATTGCAATAGCAATAACAATGAGAAATGACGGAAAATTGAACATCAATACGAGCGTTCCCATGGGAGCTCAGAGAAAGTTTAGAACTGTAATAGATGTGATTCACAGCGGGCGTACCACCGGAACCAGAACCGTGCATAGTTAACGTGACGGGTATGCAGGCGATAATTCATAGCAACGACGTCAAAGACAGGAAGATCCTGGCCGAGAAAGAGGGAGTCGCCCTGGACTGCATGTGGGTCATTCGAGTGGAGGAAGGATGGAAGGTATTTCTTCTTTTGCATCATCGCGATTAGTCTAGATTGGGTAAACATATCAACGTCGGAATCTTCATCGGAATTTAATATCGACGCATGAAGCGTGAAGCGTTTCGCCTCCCAATATTCCCTTAGCGCCGTATAACGTTGCAATCCTTATTCGATTCGAGCTCACTTCACCGCGGCGCATCACGGATCGATCGGCGAATGTTTGTTATTGGTCTGCAGCAACGTGACTTCAAATGCCATTTCAGTCAAGGTAACGCGTTTCTGAATGATTTACAATAGCCGTTTCCCTGCGCGGAAATACGGCTATGGTGTTGCGAAGATTATATGCACCTCCCCTTTCTACGATGCATCCCTCGCGTAATCGCGGTCATCGTTGGCGCGGCTTACAGAGATGTCTCTATGTCTCATGAAGGTAGAGGTGTTCTCCGGCTTTTGAAACTTCGTTATTAAAATTTTTTCACGAAGCCGATGTTTCGCGAGCTTTCATCCGAAACTATGTGCAAAATTACCCGTTTTCCCTCGAAAGACAAAACCCGACGTGGGCGGTGAGCAGTCGCGCGTTTGCTTTTCCCGTGCATTCTCGAGAAACTGCTACGAGCAACTTCGTAATCGACAGTCGGTTGAACTACTACGCACGCTTTCGAATTTTTCGCGTCGCGGCTGTATTTCACATTCTCGCCGGCGACGTCTTTGACGTCACCTCGGAAACATTACATGGCCCGTTCCTGGAATACGGCGAAGGTTCCGTCTGCCGCGAAAACACAAGTGTTCGCGATTCCGCAATTGTAACACGGCTGATGAGCGAGCGAGTGAGCGCGTCGCTTAATTGCGCCGCTGTATTCTTTGAGTCGTCAGCCCCGGCTTCTCAGTCCCCGGCCGCCTAAGGGCGGCAAACCGGTGTGTGCACTTGGGAAAATGGAAACGCCTTGCAATTTCTAGATCCAGCTGACGTTCGAATCTTTCAAACTGCAGCGACCGAACGAATGCGATGCCAACTTTGTGGATATATTTAAGGATCGCACGGACATGTCCTCCAGGCAGAAGAATTTCTGCGGCAGCATCGCTGACACCGTCGTGCTTTCTAACAACATCGCCCACATGAGGTTCTACACAGAGCCGAAGGCCATCAACAGCAGCTTTGATGTGGTGATGACTGCTATCAGAGACAAGGATAAATGTGAGTTTCCAAACGACAACAATAATAAATACACGTATGTATTTAGCCAAATGCGTTTTTGAAGTTGCAAGTTCGGCGAGCCTGTAATTCGATCATCAATCCTTTGCAAGTTACGAATAACCACGGGTTAGAAAGAATGTGCCTTTAACAATAAGTTAACAAGAATTATTGCATTTTACTTGTATTAGTTCAGAAATGATTTAAAGTGAGATTTGCGCGCATGAAGTGGAGTTTGAATCTTAAAGAGGTTACTCTAGACGACCCAAAAATAATTATTTCTTAAAAATGTTTCTTGAAATTTATAGAAAAATATTGTTTCAAAGTTTTTGTCAATAATTAGAGAATAATGTTTTAAATATAAGTTAATCTTTGTATATAAAATGTTAATAATTTTTTGTATATAAAAATGTTCACAATTTTTGTGATATTTGTATGCGATGATATTCGTAAGGTAACAAAATCTATTAACAATTATATCTCCTCTTAAATAATGTTAGTAGGATAGTAATAAGGGAATAATTATTAGGAAAATTCGAATTGACGAAAAAAAGTATATCAATGTGCGTTAGTCTAAGGTAATCTTAGCGCTTATATTACACTGTCAAACATACATATATAAATTTAGCAACTAATAATTTGCATTCGGCTCTGATTAGTCAGTTAGGTTGTTTGGTTTCATTTCTACAAGTCATTTAATAATGTGTGATTGGAAAAAGAAACTGCTAAAGCTACTATAATACTATGAGACATAGAAAAGCTAATTTGAAAGATATATGCAAAGCTTTAACTCTCTCAATCGGCTCATTAACTTTTGAATTTCCTTTTAAAAAAATTGATTTCGAAATAAACGTATTTAAAGTCTTAGAATGAGGTTTTATGTAGAAAACGCTTATCTTTAATCTACTATTTCTAGTCCATACAATCTTTCGATTACTTTATTAAAATCTTCATTGGCTATTTGTTCCATTCTTTGAACCACTGTGGCTTTCTCGATATGAAACTCGTCTTACGCTTCGCTGAGTTCAATCACGTCTCGTGTCTCCCTCTTTCTCTCTTTCCCTCTCTTTTCCACATATAATTCTGCTATTTCTCCAATTTTAACTTCTGTAGTATAGAGAATACGTGAAATTGTTTTATTCTCCTCATTAAAGAAACATATAGCTAAATGAATTGCTATTATGATATTTTTTGTTTCGTTATACATAAGAATAATTTACCGTATAATTTCATTGTAGCTTTCATTATTGTTTTAAATAGTCTCCAAAAAAATTACAATAAAATAATTTCCATTTTTCCTGACATCAATTGGTCAGCAGCAGCACGAAACTTTTTTAATTTTTACTTGCGCGCCGTTTTTTGAGCACCGTTTCATTTAATCCTAAATGACAACGTTGATTTGCCAAATTCCATTAAACTGTTTTAAGGTTTTATTTTATATATTTGAAGATTGATGAGAAACTTTTTTTATTGTTTGGAGGCTGCAAACCGAACAGTCTCCTTAAATGAATTCACTTAAAATTTATCGAATTCTCTGAAATTCGAGTCAGCGCCTCTGTCAGAGACTCTCTGAAACGTTCTGTATACAATCAATATTTTTGATAGTTTTTAACAACGACATACGAGTTCGCTTTCAGCCGTTCAAACTACGCTATCCAACTGATCGTTGCGGTTAGACTAACAACACGGAAATTGTCCGTACGTTGTGCTCAAAAAGTATCTGCAGCAATTCCACAAAATTTTTCCCCGGTGTCCCACTTACTACATAGATTTTTATTTTACGACTTCGCGTATTACGGAATCGGCTATTGGAAAACACAATTGTTGCGGCAACTTCCATTTCGAGTCAGCACGTTGTACAGATAATTCTCCGCGGATTAGGAAATAAATGCACAACATTTCGTTGTTATTAATAATATTCGCGGATTATTACCGTTGATAGCAAGCAATGCGAGAGTAAGATCTTGAAGTATAATACACGATTGGGAAAAAGATTTAAATGATTATCAATATATATTTCGTTTATAACAACTAAATTTTTTATATTTCAACTTGCGTTCTTTTTCTCTTTCCCTCTCTCTTTTAAAATAAGTACTTCACATTTTACGAATGATTGACGAATTATTTAAAGATCGAGTGATATTAAGTTATTACAAGACGAGGGTTCACACGTTTGAGCAGTTTAGCCTACAATTATACGCATGCTTCATTCAATAAGTATCTTATAGCCGGCGAAATCTTCGGGGATAATCGTTGGGTAAAGGAATCAAATTTCAAATTAATAGTCGCGCACTCGTCTGAATGTTAAATGAGGTGGCCCGCAGAATCGCAGTTACGTGTGCGGAATTCACGGGTTCTAGTATGGCACGAGAAGAATTTCCGGCTTTCCGCACCTGCCGCCAACGCGGAACTAATATCGTGCCAGCGACTACATCCCGGCGTTCGGCAATTCCCTTATCCCAGCCGCCGAACGATAAAGCTTTAGGTTACAATTTTCCCATGCGGGCTAAGACTATCACGATTATTTCACGGGGGGTTTGCCGTAGAAGCTTAAGAGAGATTAAGCCTGCTATAAATCTGCTGGGCGTTTTATATACATCATGTGTACGTATCAAATGTGTGCAGCGCAAATTAGACGGCTATACGGAGAGAATGTTATATTCTTTTTTTTTTCATTTAAGGGGAGGTTCTGTGATTTAAATAAGTAAAAAAGAGATTAAATAGTTAAGAGATCTTTACGTTTCTTTTTTTTTCAAAATAACGAGTAAAATGTTAATAGAGATTTTTGATCATAGTGTTTATCATTGTTTTAAGTAGAAAATAATTATTTTAAAAGAAATTGAAATTCCGTTAAGGTTTTTTTTTTGTACTGAGCGCTGTGTCGCCGAATATTTATAACTAATAAATAACATTATAACTCGTATAATAATCTGAAACAAATGGGACCAGAAAATTGAAAAACTGTATTAAATTTTCTGAAGAATAAATTTGTGTTATATGCAGAAAGTAGATATTTAATAAAATGACGGCATCTCGAAGTTACAAGTAATTTTTCCTATTTTTTTCTTTTCTCTTTAATGTCTTAGGAAAAATACTAATTTTCGTAGTTTTCCTTAGAGTTTAGGTTCACCCTCCAGCAACTTCAATAAAATTTAAAAAATTTTTTGTTCCACTTATTTGAAATTATTACGCGAGCTATCCGTTGTCCACTGGTGACTAATGTGCGGCGACACCGCGCTCAGCACAGAACAACCTGAAAGGAATTTAAATTTATTAAACTTAAAATAACGATAAATAATATAGTTAAAACCTCATACTAATATCCTTATTCATTTCTTTGAAAAAAATTCATAATAATCTTCTACTTTTCGGCTCTCTAAATCAGTATCTCATTCTAAATTCTTTTCAATTTTATTTCTAGAAGTGCAGGAATAGACAGTAAGGTGTATCTTGTTAAAAAACCTAATAAATTTCGCTAGAAGCAAAGCAATTTTTTTAATAACACATTTAATAACGGATTTAATAACACATTTAATAACATATTTAATAACACATTTAATAACACATTTAATAATACATTTAATAACACATTTAATAACATATTTCAGTTCCTGAAATATAAGTAACATATATAAAATAAAAGAATATTAAATTATTGCAGAATGTCAATTTATTCTTCGCTTGCTAAAAATTCCATCGCAATTTTTACTATAAAATTCTCTCCACGTACTAATATTATAGCAAAGGTAACAAAATACCAACCGAGATAATTAGCAATTAAATTGAAGTATGATTGAGATGTTTTTCAAAGGAAAAAAACGCGGATTGGACGAAAAATCCGCATAGATAGAAGTAAAAGCGAAAAACGGAATGCCTCGTGCAATTTTGTAGTATTCTAATCGATACAAAATTTGAGATATGCACAACATGACGTTCTTTTTTTTACCATTTTGCAGCCTGTAGGCAAAACGAGTACGACTGCGAGGACGCTACGTGCATCGCTGCGGAATTGCAGTGCAACGGGAAGGGGAACTGTCGCTTCCGATGGGACGAAGACGAGGCAACGTGCAACGTGAGTTTTAGCTTTGTCGAAAATCTGATTCAATATCGTCCATTCTACGATCTGGCGAAACACTATCCAATCCCCGGATTCAGACTATTTCCGGCGCGTCCTTCCGCGCGCATATCTTTCACCCTTCACGCCCGCCTCACACGAGTCCCTCTACTCGTTTTACAGGTTCTTGCCTTCTCGTAAAGTGTAAACTGGGAAAGTTAAATCGCGCGAGATAGCGCGAGCTCGCGAAACGGTCCGAGAGATGAGTATGGACCATGAGACGTAAAGATAATTCATTTCTGAGACATATCGCGATTAAAGAGGGGGAGCGGGGGGGGCGGGGTAAAAAAAGAAACGCCAAGAACTGTATTCATCTCCGAGCCACGGAGGGTGATAATTCTGAAGAGAGGAGGCACTGTTAAATATTGAATTTATTATGGTCGCTATTATATAAGAATGAAAGGATTTAGATACGTCGCAGGTTCATTTACGCTTCTGAATAACATTTGCACACGCTGCGACTTAGTAGCATTTCCTGTTGGTTAAATAAGTTTCGTCCGCACATGCCTTCGTCTTGCATCACGAAGGTGTATGCAATACTGCAATATAGGAAGAACGATACGTTGCGTCGTCTTAATTGCCCCCCAAGCTACCACTCTACTTGCGCTCTTGATCTTCCAGGTTAATTAATTTATTCGAGGGAAGTTTTATGGCTCTCTAGTTTAACTGGCACGATGAACAAGGCTCCTAGGAACACGTAATCTCGGAACGGCAATTTGCTTCCTCTAATTGCGAGCAAAATCAGTTTTGTAGGCCGCGCTTTTGTCTGCTCGCATAATTCTATTCTTCTCTTACGCCCTACGCGACTTTATACGGCATAGCGTTATCGAGCGCTGTGTTACGCTGCCTTTACTCCAATTTTGGCGCTGCTAATTTGCTCATCTTGTCCTTCACGCGAAAACGACAAAACTTGAAGGGAAGAACACGCGTACCCCCTATTATAAACTTTCAATACGACTCTACTTAGATCGACATTTTGACTCGCGCATTTAATGCGGGGACGAGACCATTACTCAAAGAACCTCGTAATTCGATTCCTGCAATAGTCTGCGGACGGAAGTCGCGGAAGCATGAATTATCTTTAGAAATGGTAGTCTCTTTAGAACATGGCGGGCAGTTCATGATCTTACGATAAACGTTGAGAGTACTTCGTCTCGGGAACTTTGTAGTCTTTTAGCTGGGATTATCCAGGGCTTTCGGAAAGCTCATTTCACATCGCCCAGCTTGAAATTCGGGATATGAAACCCTGTGGTGAAGCACGCCGACGAGAGACGTAATCATTCTGCGACCCATCGTACCGTGTACGTGCACGTTTTCGAATTGAAATAAACAGAGGACTGCTTGTCATATTCGCGGCTAGACGCCATACGACTCAATTTCCTTTCTTCGTCGAAGAAAACGTCAACGAACCGGAAGTTACTAAATACAAAAATTGTATCATTTTGTTTTCAATTAGATGTAACATTTATTAGCACTTAGATGTAACATTTATTAAGATATAAAATTAACATAAATTAATACTCCAAACCGTACGATCACCTTTTAACAATTGCTTTCCGGCCGAAGAGATCTAATCAAAAATATTTTGCAAAAGTTAAAAATGTTGGGGAAAATACTTAGTTGAAAATTTTCCCCTGTAGTATTGTCATAATGTACCAGGTTTTGCATATTTCATTATAAACTACAATTAGTCCATAGTTTAGATAAATTGGATTGAAAATGATGAGAGAACGTTCTACAAAGAAACCGCAGACACCTTTGTGAACATCACAAAAAACACATTTCTTGAGAAACATTACGCCTGTGTACTCATTTGACACTTCAGTTGAGTAATTTTTCTTAATTACATCTTGACAGACGGCATATACTCGCACGCTATAGGATTCATAACTCTCTCAAATATTTACCGTCGGCGTAATGAAGATCTGTATCAAACGCTGATGCATAATTTCGCGCACGAGGTGTAACGCTAAATAGTCCCGTGGAATGGCGAGGCCTTCTGTCAGAGATTTACCATAGTCTCTTATTTGTTAGCACCACACCACGAATCTGGGATGCGCGATCCCACGAGGGTCGTCTCCGCGACTTAATCGCCCTTCAACCCCGCAAAACGTCCCGTCTTGTCGGTCCTCCCCCGTCCTCCCTCCCCCCTCTTCCTCTCAACCCCGTTAGTGCCTGTAGCGCCAGGCTAATTAATTTATTCCGGCGAAGTTTTGCAACCGGGCGCGGCTCACTTAGTCCGGGTTCCGCGAGAGTCCCAATCTCGAGGTCTCGCAATTCTACGCCGCTCTCCCTTGGTGATATTCGGACGTGCGCTGCCGACGGTTATACGGGTGGGTGTTTCCGGTTCCGGGACGTACAATACTACGCGCTTTTGGCAGACTACCAGGACAAGGTACCGGCGAAACGACGGCGCGATGCCACCGACGGGATATTAATCTAACGGCGAATAATGCTCCTGATATTGCCGCGCGCGCGATTCCGCCGATGTTTCGCGACTTATCGCAATCGTTTTTGGCAAGAGAGTGCAAAAATTGAGTCGCGCAAGCTGCGAATAAAACGAATGACGAACGATAAAATCACGATTGTTAATCAGGATCGTTATCATCGATGACGTTATAATATCGTTCGAGGCTCAAAACAAATACGTAAAGTCAAAGTATGACCCGGACAGTAATAACACTGATACCTCACATTCTGGACATTCTTATTATTTTGATCTTTAAATACGAATATTCAGACTCTCAATATAAAGAATATATATACATATAGAATATGTATACATAGAGAATATATATTATCTCAATATAGAGAATATGTGCATATATAAAGATTATATATACATATGTGTTGAATATATACATACGTGTTCTTATTTCTTGTTGAAAGTTTATTTGTATTTAAAAATTAAAACAATATAAATGTCCTATATTTAAGTACCAGTGTTATTAATGTCCAAACATTGGTATTTTTATCTTACGTATTTGTAAGTTAGAATGTCGGAAAACTTATTCATTCTTAGTCGTTCGGTCGATCGCACAAATATAGACAGTATATTTTATCAAATTTTCGGGGAGGAACAGAGAAACGACATGATATAAATGAAAAATCTGTTACTGTCTGTTGTCACTGATATTAAAAAAATAGTAAAAAATTTAACAAATAACTGATACTTAATAAATAATTAAATTGAACGGTTATTATTTATCAAAAATGAAGTCCGGAATAAAACAAAAAAGGCGCTCGCCCTACAAAATTCTCGTTCCAAACGATTTGCATTCAGTGAGTTTATTATTTTCAATGCTCTCCGATGAATGTCAGTGCAAGCAGGCAAATACCTGTCGAAACCATTTTATAATTTAAAACACTTGTTCTCGTTAAATGTGATTTTTCTTGCCTGTTAATTTTCGCACAGTAAGTGAAAAGAAAATTAGCTTCTTTTGATACTTTATATAAAACTAATTTGCGAATTAGCTCACGGAAAGATTTAATCAGCACAACATAGAATAAAATAAAGGCAATTGCAAAAATTTCATAACTACTATGTCAACGCAGTTTTCTTTTATATATTTTCTTTTATGTATATTTATATTCTTATATATTCTTTTATGTATACTTATGTATTGTTATACTTACATTTTTTATACTAATAACTATTAGTATAGTTAGTACAGTTAGTATAGTACAGTTAGTATAGTTAGTATAGTTATTCAGTATCTCAATTTGGTTTTCTCCAACATTTTACTCTTCCATGTTTTATAATATATTATTTTATAACAGCGTTGTTAAGTTAAAAGGAGATAATTATATAAAATAAATTAAATGTTTTATAATATATTATTTTATAACAGCATTGTTAAGTTAAAAGGAGATAATTATATAAAATAAATTAATAGACTCAAAAATTTGATGAAAATTAAAGCGAATTGTAAATTTTATTTGTGAAATATAGGCATGTAATAATATAGTAATATTACTGCGAATAAAGTTAGACATTTAATTTTCATTTTGCATTTTATTTATATCATTTAACATATAGTTTTCTGTTACTTCCAAGAGACAGTCAATTGCACACGCACATACACACACGCATATACTTTGCAATGTAACTATTCTAAGTGCGCTCGACTGTGCACCGAATTTGACGCCACAGATAACTTCAATTCGCGCAGGCGATTGTAACTAAATAGCCAACGACTAAATGGCTAACGAGTATCTTCCATTGTAACCATAGACAATACGCGCTTCGTCACTCTGTTAGGCGGAAATAAACGTTCTCACTCGCTTGTCAGTCGTAACGTAGCGGTAAATTTATCGCGCAAACGATGGCGAGACGATTGTTTACTTCGACGACACATCCGCTCAATATGTCACTCCATCGAATAAATCGATAATATACAACACGCCATATCGAGTTAATCCGACCATGTTTGATTGTTAAAATACCGTCACATATCGATGCGTGTATCTTTCCACCTCTTGTTAACATTATTGGGACGGATGTGCAACATTGGCGTTTGGACAGTGCGTTAGCAAGCTTCTTATTACACAGGAAGAATTGGGTGAAAATATCGTGAATGTATTCGGACAAAATTTAGGAAAACTTTAGATACGTGAAAATTTGTCTTCGAACAGTCTTTGTTGTTTTTCATAGAACAGTTTTAAATATCTCAAGAATTAAGCTTCAAATAAATATTTATTTTTATTCAAATAAAAAATTATTATTACGCGGAAACCTCCTGTATACTTGTCACGACGTTGATTTATGACAGAAGAGGGCAAGAAAACATGCTCAAAATTCTTGTAAAATACGTAGAAACAAAAAATGTATTATGGCTGCGTACAGACACAGTAAGAACAGACTGAGCATGAGGCGCGAAACCTGAAGAATCATCTATTAAATAGAAAGAGACGGAAGATAGATGCCGTGTATCCTTCTCTCTCACTCTTTCCTAGTT